CCTCTCTGCCCAGCATTTGGACAACCTCAGGTTTATGCAGTAAAGTTACCTCATCTCTCTCAGCCACCAGAAATTCTGACTCCTGTGACAGATTAGAAGTTAGTTTATAGTAAAATGCCAATGTCTCCCAAAAGTGGTTTAACATGTTTGTGGAAGAAGGCAAAGCCTCACTGGAAACGGTGAGATTAATCTAACGGTAGAATTTAGGGCAGCGTGAGAAAAGGACCGTGAGGTCTCTCCAGGGAGCCTTCTAAGTACGCAGTGGACCTAACAGCACAAAGGCAGCCCAGGAGGAAAGTAAAAGCTCCTTTCCATCTTAGGTCTCCATTCAAGGCAGATGGCCCTCCCAGGCATGTCAGAGCTCTAGGCTCTTCTGCTCCCTTCCTCTGAGGGACCTATCTGTCCAGCTGTCAGCCTGTCACTACAGCTCTGCTCCAAAGCTATCGTGTAGGTGTGTATTCATCAAGCATTGGTTTCTAACATTGAAAAAGGATCTTTCTAAAGAAGGAGGTTTATTCCTCTGGACGATTACAGATAAGTTCTGTGTGGTAGGGTCAGATGGTCATCTGTGTGGCTTGACCAGTGCTCCTGTTCTGTCTGTATTCAGATGTGATTATGGAGTGGTCTTGCTTTTATCTCAATCTATCCCAGTCGCAAAGTGGCCTTGTCTGAAGCTGATGGTCTATATACAATTGCTCACGTTCAACAGGATGACACCAAGGTCTAGCTGTGAGTGGGAGGCCAGGTCCTGGATGTGGGGGCTGCTTTTCTCTTTCTCAGTATTCCTAACGAGAGAGCTTGGATCAGATTTTCTGGGAAGCCTGGGATCCCACAAAGAAACAAAGGCTTACTCTCTAAAATCGCCTGTAGCCCAGACAGACAAGGTTTGAATCACAGACACCGGTCCTCCTGTGGCTTATTATATGTGACATCAGTTGCTGCCTCCATGAAATGGGCATTTCTTTTTTTTGCATTTTTTAAATTAAATCTTTATTGTTCAGATTATTACATTAGTTACTCTTTTTTCCCACCAGAAATGGGCATTTCTGATGGCAGAATTAGGTTGTTGTGGGGAGGGTGTAACCACCGACAGAGGTTCCAACAATGTTGGTGAAATTTAATCACTCTGTAAAAACCAGTGTTTTAAAAGTTAAATCCCTCAATCTTAAAACCAACATGGACTATTAAATGGCAGCAAGAAAGACTGTTTGGTTTTTCTTATGAATAGCAGCTTTTCTTCTTTGTGCTTTTTTAAATGTCCTTTTTATAACCCCAATGGAAGGGAATTTGTCATCTAACAAAAATGAATATGTGTTTCTCTTTTGTCCCAGCAATCCCGCTTCTGGCAATTTGCCCTAAAGATAAACTTCCAACAATGTGAAAATACATATGCACAAGTTTATTCATTGTAGCTTGGCTGATAATTGGGGGGTGGGGTGGGGGGAAGGCAACAATGTCAGTTCCTAGGCGTAGGCAGTGGTTGAATAAACTGTGATACATTCACACAATGGAATCCTACACAGCAATGGAAGAAAACTATGAACTGATGAGGACCGGTTTCCAGAACATACGGTTAAGTGAAAAGAAAAAAAAAAAAGCAAAATGCACAATAGTATCTATAGTATACAAACCTTGATATAGAAACCAAGATGATATAAGTGCCCTGGCCAGTGTTGATCAGTGGTTAGAGCATTATACTGTGCACCAAAGGGTCGCAGGTTAGATTCCTAGTCAAGGGCACTTACCTGGGTTGCAGGTTCGATCCCTGGTCCCAGTCAGGGTGGTTCAGGAGGCAACTAGTTGATATGTTTCTCTCTCCCCCTTTCCTTCCAGTCCCTCTAAAAAAATCAATGGAAAAAATATCCTTGGTGAGAATTAACAAGAAAACACGTATATTTGCTTATCTTTACAAAAAGAAACAAAGGAAGGATAAACCAGCAACTATTGATACTGGTTGCCTAGAGGCACTGGGTGGGAGCAGACTAGAAGGAACGGACAAAGTGATATTTCTGACTGAGTTTACTTATCGGAATAGTTCTGACTTTTGAAACCATGTTCATGTTTCACATACTAAAAAAATAAATAAAAGTAACAGGGATGTGGGGGATCCTAAAACAGAATACAATCAGAAACAGAAGAACCTTAATTGCATTTTAAACAGAGCCTCACTTAAAGGGAATGGGAAGAACTAACCCAAGTAACTTTTGAACATGGTATTTATCAGGTTAAAGACAAAAAGCACTGTAACAAATACTGACCTCTAGTTAGTAGATTTGTCTTCTATAGTTGTATGGGTAGTGAATCTGAAACTATTTTTTAAAAATATATTTTTATTAGTTCAGAGAGGAGTGGAGAGGGAGGTAGAGGGGTAGAAACCTCAATGAGATAGAAACATCAATGATGAGAATCATTGATCGGCTGCCTCCTGCATGCCCCCTACTAGGGATTGAGCCCACAACCTGGGCCTGTGTCCTTGACTGGAATCGAACCCGGGACTCTTCAGTCTGCAGGCCGACGTTCTATTCACTGAGCCAAACCAGCGAGGGCATGAATCTGAAACTATTGAATGTGTATCCTAGGATTGAGCAAATAAGTAAAATTCTTGTGGATAATTAGAATTATGTTTCTCACTGTTGGAGGATGGAGTTACAAATTCAGAAAAGGGAAAAGCTATGATGAACACCCTAGTATGGGATTGGTATTATAGATATCAATAGGAATTCATGGATTTTCATATAAAGTAGATATATAAGATAGATGTGTGGATTATTTACATACATATGTACATATGGTTTCACTACATATGGTACATATATAGGAGATTACATATATTTCCTAACTTTGTCCACTGAGCGAGCCTAGAATCAGCCACACTACAGAAGCAGTAAGTACTTCTAGTGCCCAGATCTTGGTTTCCTGGATGCCGTTCTTCACTAAAAGTAAACAGTGCTTCTTGGGGGAGATGGCTGACTCCAGGACCAGAACTGGGAAAGTACAAGATGAGCCTGAAACATCCTGATGTAATCTGAAGGAAAGATATGCTCAAAAAATGATGGAGATACGCCAAAAGGACACAGGAGCCAACTGGAGGGGACTCCCACTGGCCACATCTAGAACAATTTGAGCATTGTACAACTATCTCAAGTGAAGTTTATGGTACGTTAATTATACTTCAATTAAACTACTTTCATTTTAAATATATTTTTATTGATTTCAGAGAGGAATGGAAAGGGAGAGAGAGAAGCATCAATGATGAGAGAGAATCATTGATCGGCTACCTCCTGATCGAGCCCACAACCCAGGCATGTGCCCTGATGAGGAATCAAACCATGACCTCCTGGTTCATAAGTCAACGGTCAACCACCGAGCCATGCTGGCAGAGCTAAGCTATTTTATTAATAAATAAAGTAAATGACTTTAACCTGTAAGTTAAAAGAAGAATTCATAATCGTAGTAATTGTTTCAGGCAAGAATCACCAAGGATGCTAAACTAGTGAGTGGAAGTTTGAAGAAAAACAGGAGAGTTACATAGTCTCAAAGTATGTCCCTGCAAGACATTTACTCATTACAAAGAGAAATAGTACATTTACAGTGGAGAAACCTGGAAGATGCCACCTTAATCAAATCAGCAAAGCTAATAACCATTTGGGAACTAACCAATACCTTGTGCCTCCGGATACACTCTAAGAAAAATACAGGTCACTTCTTTGGAATTCCTGCCAAAAATGCAGAATCCAAATCTAACCCTGAGGAAATATCAGATAACCCAAAATTGAAGGACATTCTTCCAAATAATTGGCCTGTGACTTTTTGAAAACGTCGAGATCATGGAAGTTAAGGGAAGAGTGTGGCATTGTTCAGACTGAGGGAGGCTGAGAAGACCTGATAACAGAATGCAGCACATGACCCAGGATTTCCTTTTCCTATAGAGGGACGTTACTGGCTCACCCACTAGGATGGCTAGAATGAAAAAGTCAGATAACAAGTGTTGATGAGGATGTGGAGATATTGGAACCCTCATACACTGCTGGTAGGAATGTAAGAAAATGTCCTTGTTAGGAAATTCATACTTAACTATTTCGTTGAAAGGCCATTGTGTCTACAACTACTATCAAACAGTTTAGAAAAATATATAGATAAAGATATAGATAAATAGATAGATAGAATGTGATTATTATGAGGCTTGGCAATTTTCGCCAATCTAATAAATGAAAAATGTGATCCCATTGTATTAATTTGCATCTCTTTAATTATGGGTAGACCATCTAAAATGCCCCAGAAACCATAATGCAGAATGACCACAAAGGCTATACAATTTGAAAAATACTGAGTGCCACTCTCTACTAAGCTCCAGTGATAAAAGTATGAAACATCACACCTAGTAGATGTGAAATGCATCTAATTGTTTTAATTTCGAATTTCCCTGATAACGAAAAACAATGGGTTATCTTTTCAGAGGTTATACATATTGGCCATTTCAGGGGACTCCTGCGGTGAATTACCTATTCATATCCACTGTCCATTTTCCAGTGTAGTGTTTGTGCCTCTTCTGACTGATTTGTAGATGTGCTTTATACATCCCAGAATCTAGATACTAGTTCTTTATCACATACATCAAAAGAGTAGAATGAAACAATCAAGTCTGTGAAGCTCAGCGAGGCATATAGTAAGGATCTTTCCGTTTTAAATACCAGGACTTGCAATGAAAGGAAATATTTCTGGCATGTGCTATGGATCATTGTTGACTCTACTTGAGTATGTCTGAAAATAGAAAAAAATAAGAATGAAGTCTAATTTATAAAATTTATGGCCTGCACTCTGCTGTTAAGAAAAGGAATTAGCAAAAAGAACAGAAATAGGAGGAGGAGGAGGAGGAGGAGGAGGAGGAGGAGGAGGAGGATTAGCATTTGTGAATCTGGTCTATGTAATTTATTCATAATTACTGGATTCAACTTTTTTGTTTGTAATACATGAATATTTATTTATGAGTTAAAACTCCATTTAACTTCACGTTAACATTTATTTTAAAGAGGGGAGACACACGTTGCTCTTCAATTGCCACCGGTATTTCCAAGCAAAGAACTGCTAATCCCATTCTTTTGTTTAAGAGAAAGGGACACCAAAGCCTGGTGAGTGGGCATGACTCGCCCAGCTCCATACAGGCAAGCACTAATCTGATTAGAGCCTGTTTTCCTTAGCTCCTCAGGTGACGGCGGGGGTCCAGCTTCATCTGGGCTTCCTTCTCCCTGCCACATCACAGCTAAGCACGCAGTACTTGCGCGGCAAATGTTCCTTTGGAAAAATAGGCCCTTCATCAGCCTAGGGACTGAGTGGGGTGCCCAGACACCGCACGGTAGGGGAGGCAGACAGCAGGTGTTGCGTAAATCCTGTGTTGGCGCAGACAGAGCCCAGGACGAAGCATTGTTGGGAACGCTGTAAAAGCTTCATAAAGGCTCCGGATCGATCGGGTGCTCCGAACTCGCCTCCTGGTTCACGCGCTACTTGCTGAGGTCACCCTCCGTGCCAGGCGAATAAGTACGGGCTGGGAAATGAAGCAAGCAAATCAGTTCTCAACGACCAGCCAAGTGCCCACAAGGAGTCCCTAGGGGCAGCACAGGCGCCTAATTGGTGTTCCTCGGTGACACAGTCAATACTTGGAAATGTTTCTGGCCCGTCTCTGGGGGTGGAGAAGATTGGACATTCCTTTAGTTCCCTCAAAGGATGGGGTAGGACAGACCTCGGCTAATTTTCCCACGTGTGAACCGAGGCAGCACAGTGCCAGAGAACGTGCGTGGGCGAACAGTCAAGGTGAGGGGCTTTCCCTCCTCCCTCCCCCATCTTTCCCATCTCGGCTCCCAAGGATTGGGAATCTGATGATGGAGGAGTTTGTTCTTGGCCGTCCAGACACCTGCGGACGAGAATGATCAGGGGCTGCAACACTCAGGGCCCGAAAGGTGTGGGCGCAAAGGTCCCGCAGCACCCCGCTCCTCTCAACCTCCCGCTCCTCCTTCCCTC